GCAGGACATCCAGGAGGCGGCGCAGCCCGTGGCGACGAAGACGGCGCAGAGGGGGGCACTGCACGCTCACATTCAGCGAAGAGCAGAAGTACTGTCCAAGAGGAAGAACGCCCGCCTAGGGTGCTTCACCGAAGCGGACAGGCTCTACCTGCGCAGGCTCGAGAAGGAGATCAAGCAGATGAAGAAGCAGATGGACTTAGAGTACGTGGAGCAGCTACTGCACGAGGCGGAGCGGTACCGAGGCGTGCACGACTACCACGGGGCGTGGCGGCTGATCTACTCCATCGGCCGCAGGTGCAGAGGCCCGCGGCAGCGCAACTACAATGTCCCAGCGGCCTACCTCCCCTCCCTGGACGAGTGGACGGAGACGATGACGGCGTCGGCGAGGGAAGGAGGCTTCAGTGCAGTGCAGATCGCGGACCCGCAGGAGGCCTCGGCTGGCACTCTACGCCGGCTGGCCGACGAGGGCCAAGAGCACTTCTGCCAGGCCCCCGCCTCCACGGCGTACGACGATTGGTTCCGCACGCTCTCCCAGTTGAATTGGGTCTTGCAGCACGCGACCCGTGAGCTCACGGGGGAGTGGCCGCACACTGACCATCGCGGGGAGCGTGCACTCGATCGAGCTCGTTGTCGTCGTAGGGTCCCTTGCCCAGCCTTCACGGAGAGGCTGCGCGCGATCTTCAGGCAGTTCAGAGCTAAGACTAGGACGCCCTACCAATGGCACTGGAGTAGGACCTTTCAGCTCTCCAAGGGGAACCTCAAGAAGGGCACCAAGGCCATGAGACTCATACACTGCTACTGCCCGTTCGGGAAGGCCTGGTACAGGGGCCTCTTCCTCAGGAGCCCTCGACCTCCTCTTCCCCCGCACGCTCACGGATATGCACCACACCGTTGTCGGCAGAATGCGCAGCTCGTCGCCAAGATACACAGCTGGAGGCTCAGAAAACTGGGGATATCGCACCTCCTCCTCAAGAAGGACATGTCGAATGCGTTCCCCTCGACCTCGCATGAGGAGTTGGCTAGGACGGTCCAGCAGGTCATCCCCCACCCCCAGGACAGGGCATTCCTCCACCAGAGGCACTCAGAGGCGGTCATGGAGATCAGGGCGGGGGAGCAGACTGGATATTACCAACCAACTCATGGGTCAGGGATGGGGGATGGGAATGCTTGTGAGTTATTTGTTCGTAGTTTTCTGCGGCCAGTAGAACGGTGGCGCGATAGGCTGTATGAGGACCCCACCCAGTACCACTCTAAGTTGACAGGGGGGGAGGTCCCGCTAGTGCGTGCCGCCAGCATCATGACTTGTGCAATTTCTCGGCAGAAGATGGACGTCTCGATCAGAGACTACGCGGACGACATCCATCAGACACTGCCGTTGCTTTCGCCGAATGCGCTGGAGGCGCAGACCCGCGTCCGTGCCTCGAACGCTGTGCTGGACGAAGAGTTGGAGCTAGGCGGCGGCTTTGCTCAAAATCGAGAGAAGGAAAACTGCCTTCCCGTGATGGCGGGCACTGGGGCCCACACGGCGTCCAGGGCCTTACTTTCGGGACTGGTACCTCTTCCTGGGGTGGTGGCGGCGGAGGGGATTTACCTTGGAGGCATGGAGCAACTGACGGGAGGATGTGGGGCGGAGATCAGGAGGAGGGTGGAGGCGACGAGGGCGGCCTGGAGGAAGCTCGGTAGACTTTGGGAAGACACGCACTCCATTCGGATCAAACGGCTGGCCTTCAGGGGGACGATTGTGAGTGCTGCTTTTTCAGGCCTCGAGACATATCTTCCAGGTAAACTTGACCTTCGACGGCTCGACGCTGTCGTTCTCGGATTCGCTCGCGTGGTTCTTAGAGATAGGCGCCCTGAACTCGTTCCTGGAGCCCCAGAAGGCACCAAGCCAAGGTATAAATCGCTCTCGGAAGATGAGGTCCTCAAAAAGCTTCGGATGACGGATGCCCGTGCAGAGTTGTTGGTACGCAGGCTGAGGCAGTGGCAGCGGCTCGTGAGACACCAAGAGGACAGCGCGCAGGTGATCACTGCGCTGTTCGGCACGCTCGAGGGATTAGGAGAACCGGAGACCTTCACGGGGTCGGGGGCGGTCGCGGACGGGGCCAATCCTTGGGCTGTGCAGTTCGAACGAGACGTCCAGGCTGTTCGGTTTCTTAGAGGCGGGGACACTTTCCTGGAGACCTACTCAGTTCGGGACCTCTTCCAGAACCCAGAGGCAGGCTCCATCTTCTGCCGCTTCGACCCGAGTAAATTGAGGCAAGTACCAGAGCTCCGAAGTACACGTCTTCCCCAGGGTGCCCCACAAGATCCTCAAGCTGCCCCTGAAGAATTCGTGTGTGACCTTCCAGGAGAGGGGGAAAACGGCAGGTGTGGGATGGTGTTCTACAGCAAGGGGGCCCTCATCGCGCATCAGTGTCATCACCCATCTCATCGGCACCGAGTCCCAGCACACCAGCTCATCATCACGAATCAGTGCCCCTACTGCATGAGCAGCTTCAAGTCCATCGTTACAGCCCAGCGTCACATCGTGCAGTCACTCCGCAGAGGCCGTTGCCTGTGTGACCAGTCCCCGTATGCACCTCCAGTCCAAGAGCCCGCGGACCTCACGTGCCCCTTCTGCGTGGATCTCGACTCGGCTGTCCCAGGGTTCGTGGACTGTATGCCACCAGGCTCAAGGTGTACGGAGCCACTCGGCTCGTTGGCGGAACTCCAGCTTCACATCAGACACGTGCACGCGCCGCAGCCTGCGCCCGCGTTAGTTTCTACTGAGTGGTGGTGCAATGGACCTGGCGACGAGGGCCCTCGCAGCGGACGGCCCCGCGCGGGCAGAGGCCATGCGGTCTCGCAGCGGAGAACGGCGCGGCGCTGGAAGGCGTCGCAGAGAGCTGAGGGACTCAGAGAGCAGGCGCCGCGGCGACAGCGGCGCGGGGTCAGCAGCTGCCCCCAGCGGCGGCGAGCTGCCCGCGCAGGGGGCGGCGAACATCGCGGGCGGCGGCGGACTCCGCGGCCCCCGCGAGCAGCTGGGACAGCACGGCATCGCAGACGCTCTCTCGGCGATGTTCCAGGACGCCGACGCGAACTACGGCCTGCAGCGGAGCGACATCGAGGGCCTACAGAACCAAGCGGTGCCGATCCCCCTCATCCAGGCGCTGTTCCCGATAATCGTGAGGACAGTCTTGAAGAACTCTCAGGCCGTGGCAGGGCTCGAGGCGGCGATGTACTTCTGTATCCACATCGACGCAACGCACGCAGTGATCGAGGCCATGAAGGTAACTGGGCGCTTCTACGTACAGGAGGCACAGCGCTTGAGGAAGGATCACGCGGCGGCCCTGAGGAACAAGCAGGCGGTGCCAGAGCTGGACAACCTAGGAGTACCACATCCACACCTCTTCTTGGCGCTGGTGGGGGCCATCGTCCAGGGCGGCGTCGGGTGCGGTCAGGCCAACCACGCGGCGCTCTCAGAGTGGCTCAACAAAGTGAAGAGCGACCCGACGGTGACGAACGACAAGCTGTGCGACCACATCCGCCACTGCAGAGTGTCGTACACACACGATCGCAAGACGGCGAAGCTGCACATGGCCGCGGAGGGGACTGGCATTCAGACGCAGTTGCTCGACTCCTTGCGGCAGCTCGGGGCAGTAGTGAAGCGAGGCGTCCCCCCGAAGAGTCACCACGAGCGGATCATGCAGATGATGCTGGACTCCGTGGAGGGCTTCTGAGCGCAGGTGATGGTGCTGACGGGCCCCCAGCGGCACGCATCACGCGTCCTCCCAGCCCGTTGGGCGCTTGGAGGCGCGTGGTACCGACCGCTGGAGGGCCCCCAGCGGCACGCATCACGCGTCCTCCCAGCCCGTTGGGCGCTTGGAGGCGCGTGGTACCGGCCGCTGGGGAGACGGGGGTAGTCACTGTGCCTGGGGGCCAGCGCAGTGCGGGGGAAGCGTCTACACCGAGTGCCACGCCCACATCGATTGCCACTAGGACAACGATTGCCACGAGCGGACCGCTGGCCGCGCCTACTTCGATTGCCACGCCGACCTCGATTGTCACGGGGACATCGATTGCCACGAGTGGACCGATCGGCGCGCGAAGTACCCATTCGCTCGGACTCCCTGGGACACCAGCAGGACCTGCGGGTAGGCGCCCAGGAATGGGGGTACGAGGACGGGCTCGGGATGGTACGGTGAGGCTCGGATCGCCACAGTCGAATTCAGAAGTTAGTTCCCTCTCTCGTCCCCTTCCTCCTCCGAGGGCTGCTGCTGCTCCTGCTGCGGGGACCCCCTCTCGCCTCACCCCCTCGGCCTCCCTTGATGCCAGCATCCTGAGGCTGATTGGAGCTCTACCCAGGAGACCCCGTAGGGACGAACCCACGGCCTAGGTTGGCCTTGGCGCCTGGCCCGCGGTTCCGTCTGGTTTGAAATCTCTGGTCTCGGCGTGTGCTGCTGCTTCGGGCTGGGCGATGACCCCGCTCGGGAGCGCGCTGAGATCACCTCGTGGGTGCGGGTCCTGGATGCTCCGAGCTCTCTCTTTTTTTCGGCGTTCTTGGATGCTGGCTTGGAGGTTTCTTTCTCCGTTCTTAGTCTGATCGCCTACTATGTGATAGTAGCCCATCGAGTTTTGTTTGTGGGACCGTCTCTGGACCCAGGGATTCCCTCCGTTCTGGGCTCCGTAGGGACGTTTCGGGCCCCCCCCAAGTGCGTAGCACCGCTAATTGTAGCGCACTCGAGGAGCTTGAGCAATCTCTTTTTATTCTGTAATGTTGGGAGCTTGACTCGTGCCCCTGATGAGCGTGCCGTGCCTCCTCCTCCTGCTCCTTCCCTCCTCCTCCCCTCGTCCTCGTTCTCCTCCTCCTCATTCTCATCCTCATCCTCATCCTTCTCCTCCTCCTCCTCCTCCTCCTCCTCCTCTTCCTTGTCCTCCTTTTTCTCCTCTTCTTCCTCCTCCTCCTCCTCCTCCTCCTCCATCCCTCCCTGCTCTCCGTTCGCCCTCCCCACGGCTCGCAGGTGCGGGCGCGGGGGAAGCTGGGGGATCACGGGGCCTTCGAGACGTTCCTGGAGGAGCTGAAGGCCGCGCTGGAGGCCGACGCGGCCGCTGGCAGGGCGGCGGCCGTGTCGGACCTGGACATCCCGGAGAAGCAAAAGGTACCCATATCGCTACCTGTCTCTCGTGTTCGTTAATTGTTGGACTTTCTGGGAGGCCCTCGTCGGCACATGTCGGCACCGCTGGATTCGGCACGAAGTTCTGGTCAGGGCGCAGCCCAGGAGAGGTCCGTGGAGCAGCGGTATGGGTACCTTCTCCTTGGCCTCCCCAGGACATCAGCCAGAACTACCTGAGCCTCGAGCAGTTCTCCTCACTTTCCCTCGCATCCTCCCCACTGCTATCCTCCTCCTTCGGAGGAGGAGGAGGAGGCTACGTACCAAGTCCGTAACGTTTGTGATTACTGCGTTGAGCCTGACCCGGCGTATCACCGCGTTTGGAAATGCGTCTGCCACAAGGTTTGTGCAGCACTCGAGCGAGTTCTCCCGAAAGAGATGATTTATCAGGCTCTGGTTGATGGGCCAAACTCTTTTCTTTTTGGCCTAGGGTGGTTCGGCCTTGTCTATACGTCCTGTTAGCCCACTATCCCAGACTGGGACTTCGTCTTTCCTGCCCCGACGAGTGCGACGAATTCCGTGTTCCTCTTAGGGGCTGTTCTTTTTAGCGATGTGTCTTGTTTCTTTCTCCACGTTAGCCTCTTCCGGGCGGGAGTCAGCGTGATCCAAGCTGATGATAGTGACCAACTCATCCGAGGATTTGCGTGCTCCCCTCCCGTCCAGCATGGCCCAGACTAGCGGCATAGCCGAGCATGCCGCTACAGTCCTTGTCGTTCTCTACAGCGACAGCCGCTTCCAGAAGTCAGGGATCCATGTCGATTGCGCCACTCTGCTGAGCACCGTTACGTCTCTTTCCTGGGCTGTGTTGGGGACCAATGTCCAGGTCCACATCTTAAGGGACATTGCGCGTGTTTCCCCTGGCCCCTTCCCGTTTTCGTGAAGGTCAAAGCTCACCAGAACGAAGAAGACCTCCCGATTGAGCAATTATGGATCTTTTGTTACCCACATGTTTCGTGGAGTTCTGGTTTTCTTCTCACCCGCGTCACCCGCGTTCCTCAGTCACGCCCTCTCCTCCTCACCTCCGCCCGCACACGTCACAGCGCAGCACAGCGCAGCGCAGCACAGCACAACACAGCACAGCTCAGCACAGCACAGCACAGCTCATCTCAGCACAGCACAGCTCAGCTCAGCACAGCACTGCACAGCACAGCGCAGCACCTCAGCAAAGCACAGCTCAGCACAGCAAAGCACTGCACAGCACAGCACAGCACAGCACAGCACAGCACCTCTGGACACCATAGGGGGTGCGCAGGGGGTGGTCTCTCAGCGCGGCCGCTATCCACGACACTGTCGCAAAGCCTGTCAGGCGTGGCATTTTCTGGACACCATAGGGGGTGCGCACGGGGTGGTCTCTCAGTGCGGCATCCACGACACAGTCGCAAAGCCTAGCAGGCGTGGCACTTTCTGGACACCTGGGGGGTGCGCAGGGGGTGGTCCCTCAGCGCGGCCGAGCTCGTCGGGGCCCCGCCCCCAGCACAACCTCCATGCCATGCCTCCTGGATCCAGAGCGATGGCCTCCCGATTGCTTGTTGCTCTGAGTGTGGGGTGTTCACCACCTGCACAGGGCCAGCAGTCGCCACAGGCTTCTAAGGTCCTGCAAGTGTAGCTCCTGCTCAGCGAGCAGGAAGCTCAACAAGGGCCCGCTTCCAGAGACTGACGCTTCCAGATCACCTCCCAATTTGCTTTCCCCGCCCCAAGCCGTGCAGTGAGGGCGCTGAGAGATGAGAGCGGCCCATTTTGTTTTCCAGCAGTGCGTTGTGCTTAGAAGACGCGCCTTTGCATGCGCACTTGCAGATCTAAGGAGTAGGAGGAGGAGGAGGAGGAGGAGGAGGAGGAGGAGGAGGGGAAGGAGGAGGAGGAGGAGGGCGACGAGGGAGGAATGAGGGAGGAGGCTGGGAGGGAAGAGGAGGGGGACCAGTGCAAACCCAAGACTCATCAGCGATGTTGGTATCCACCTTCCCTCCAAGCTCCCTCTTCATAAACCCCTACAAGGATTCATTTCCACTGCGGAACGTGCCCCGTTAGGGGACAACCGTTTTAAGATCCTGAAGCGCGCCAAAACACCATTCTCAGGACTCCAGCGCCACGAACTAACCTGATTGTTGTGTCGTGGCGATCCTGAGCGTGCCAGAACATCATGAGGAGGAGGAGGAGGAGGAGGAGGAGGAGGAGGAGGAGGAGGAGGAGGAGGAGGAGGAGGAGGAGGAGGAGGAGGCGGAGGCGCAGGCGCGGGCGGAGGCGGAGGCGGAGGCGGAGGAGCAGGACATGGGTGGACGGAAGGGCAGGGGGGGAAGGTGGTGCGCGGGAGGGAGGGGTCTCATCCCCAGGGGGAGGGAGACGTTGGGGCGTGGGCGGAGGGCGACTGCAACGAGCGCGGGCCGCGGCTCCCGCGCCCGCCGGCACGCCCTCGCGCCGCGGCCCCGCAGTGCCCCAAGGACGGTGGCCCGCGCAGGCCGCCCCGAGCGCCGGCCGCTCCGTCGCGGGCGCTGTGCCCCTGGCGCCCAGGACGTGGCGCGACGACTCGGAGGAGGAAAAGGTACACCCATGCCGCTACCCTTCAGTCGGGCCTGTCCCTCTACAGGAGGAGTGTTCAAAAGTAGTCCACAAAAGTATTGCAGAATCCCCTTGTATGGGGGGTCGGACACGCCCGACCTAACGCTACCCCCGCCCCGATTTCGCCATGCGGGGCCTCCTCGGAGGCCCTCGTCGCCGCCGCTGGATGCGCCTTGAAGTTCTGGCCAGAACGCGCCCCCGGAGAGGTCCGGGGAGTGGCGGTATCCGTGCCCTTCGGCTTCCCCAACGACGCCGGCGGTGCCCCGCCGACGGGCCCGCGCGCCGCGGCCCCGCGGTGCTCCAAGGACGGTGGCCCGCGCAGGCGGCCCGAGCGCTGGCCGCCCCGTCGCAGGCGCCAAGGCGCGCACCTGGCGCCCGGGGCGCGGCGCGACGGCCCCGCCGGCGAGGCCTGCGCCTCGGTGGAGCGCGTGAGCCCGCCGCTGGAGCTCCCACCCTGGCCCTCCAGTCAGAGGAGGAAAAGGTACCCCATACCGCTGCCCTTCCCTCGTCGATCCTCTTGTCGGGGCCTCCTGGGAGGCCATCGTCGCCACGGCTGGGTCCGCGTCGAAATCCTAGCCAGCACGCGCCCAGGGGGAGGCCCAGGGAGTAGCGGTACGGGTACCTTTCGGTCTCCCTATACAAACAAGAGGCAGGGCCTCACCGTGCTCCGTCAGCGCGAGGCGCTCCTCCTTCTCCTGTGCTGCTCCTCCTCCTTCCCCTCCTCCTTCCTCCTCCTCCTCCTCCTCCTCCTCCTCCTCCTGCTCCTCCCTCTCCTTCTCCATCCTCCTCCTCCTCCTCCTCCTCCTCCTCCTCCTCCTCCTCGTCCCCCTCCTTCTCCATCCTCGTTTTCCTCCAAGCTCGGGTTGTTCTTAATCCTCGCACCACCTGTACACCTCCTCTCCTCCTCCTCCTCCTCCTCCTCCTCCTCCTCCTCATCATCATCATCATCATCATCATCATCATCATCATCATCATCATCATCATCATCATCATCATCATCATCATCATCATCATCATCATCATCCTGCTCCTCGTTCTCATCCTCGTACTCCTCCTACTCCTCGCCCTTCCTCGTCTAGCCCCGGAGCTCGCCGGACGAGGAAGCCATTGCGCGCCCCTTCAGCCCTCACGCTCGCGCGTCTGACATCGCGACTCTCTGGGAGGCTGCCATCTGCGCAACCGTCGCCACTTTCCTGGGCTCCTGGGAGGTCCAGCTGCCAACTGCGCAAATGCTCGCTTCCGGTGTGGATCGCAAGAGTTATTGGGGGAATGAAAGGCATTGAGCGTGGTCAGGCGCTCTTCAGCCACGTGATCGAGGGGACTGCAGATATGTTCATGCGGTAGTTTGGATGCTTGGAGTCTTGGTTGTAGCCGCCATATGCCTATAGAAGGGTTGGGTACGTCTCTGGGTAGTTGTTTGTTTGTATTGTTCGGACTCGTTTGGATCATCGTAGCGCCTGTCTTTCCCTCCTCCTCCTCCTCCTCCTCCTCCTCCTCCTCTTCCTTGTCGTCTGCCGTTGTTCCCCGAGGTTTGACAGCATATTCAGCCTGCTGGCGATCTCGGGCGCGGCCGTTCGGCGGTTTCGACTGTTCGGGTGTCCTACCCTGAACGACGAGGTGGTCAAGCTGTTCGCGGATTTTTTCCGGGCCGATCTTACCGCCGACCGGGCTCCCAAGGAGAGTCACGCCGCTTCGCAGGTGACACGGCCGGACAAACGTTGCCTCCGCTCCTCGGCCGTCCAGGGGGGTCTTTTGAACCGTGTCGGGGCTCCTCCTCCTCCTCCTCCTGCTCTTCCTCCTCCTCCGCCTCCTCCTGCTTCTCCTGCTTCTCCTCCTCCTCCTCCTCCTCCTCCTCCTCCTCCTCCTTCTCCTGTCTTGATGGCCTCTTGGACTGGTTTGGGACGGTTTGGGCCCCTCCTCCGCCATGATGTGACCCTCTGGGCCGTCTTTTGGGTCTCCTGGGACGTCTTGGGCCGGCTGGCGCTTCCCTGGGGGCCCTTGTCAAGCCAGGACAAATCATCCCGACCCCCTAAATGACGTCTACGAAACGGCACTGCGCGTTTCACTGAACAGTCTTGTCCCGTTTGATTCCTTCATCCAGCGCTTTTACGAAAGGGTCCTCGGTTGTGGGAGTGCTTCCAGGTGGTGTTTCCGCCCTCTACTCTTCGGGTTTCTTGGGTCGCTCTTGGGGCCATTTGAGCCGTTTCGGAAGGATATTTTGGTCCTCGTTGGGCCGTTTTGGACAGTATGAATGCCGAAGGGCGAGCATGCCAGACTCCAACACTTTTTTTTTGTTGATCCGCGGTTCGAGAGCGAGCCTCTTCCGATAGAAGCTAAGCGGGCCACGCACAGCTTTAAGTAGCAGAGGAGGGGCAACGGAGGCGGGGCCTCACGTCAAGGCCAAGAGAGGGCAAAGCCCTGGGATCAGGCGGTGCCGAAATCGAAGTGCAAGAAAAGGTTCGCCTTGGACAGGAACCCAGACTCCAACACATACGATCGCGAGTTCGGACCGTACCAGAGGGGACCAGCCACAGTCGGGATACCAGGGCGGCAGCCAGACATCGAGGCAACCGGGGTGCTCCGACGGCCGTGGCATCGTCGTAGGGCATCCGCCGCAGCGGTGACCATAACCGTGGGGCGGGAGTCACAAGGGCACCAGCCACGGGGCGCTGGCCACGCGAGGAGGAGGAGGAGGAGGGGGAGGAGGGGGAGGAGGAGGAGGAGGAGAGGAGGAGGAGGAGGAGGAGGAGGAGGAGGAGGAGGAGGAGGAGGGATCTGAGGGATCTGATGAAACGCCTTGGTCTGCAAGGCCCGCAGGAGGAGGAGGAGGAGGAGGAGGAGGAGGAGGAGGAGGAAGGAGGAGCAGGACAAACCTCGGCCACGCGCAGAGGGGGGGTGGGGGGAGGGGAGGGGGGAGGCTGAGAAGCAGCCCTGCCTCTAAGAAGCACCCCCCCTCTCCGTCCACCCCCTGGACGCCAGTGCGGCGACCGCAGATCGCGACGGCCGCAGGGCACCAACGCTTGGGCCATCGCGGAGCACCAGCCACGGGGCACGGGGGCGGCAGCCAGAAGTCGCGACACACCGAGGCATCGTAGAGCACCAGCCACAGGGAGCGAGGGCGGCAGCCAGGAGTCGCAGCACGCTGGGGCACCTGTAGAGCAACTGCCCAGAGGGCTTCGGGGCGGCGGCCAGCGGTGGCAACCGCTGGGCGGCGTCGACAGGCGGGGTCGCCTGCACCGGCATTGGCGCGTAGTTATAAGCTTCCCGCGCGATGTCGCGCGTCGGCGCCCTCGTTCCCGGTGCAGCGTGCCGCGCTGGCGACTCGGGCAAGGCAAGCCTCCGCGTCAGGCTGCCACGCCATCTCGCCCAAGACCCGCGGGGGGCACCATAGGGTTGCCAGCCAGAGGGCACCACTCACAGGGCACCCAGGGGCGGCAAGCAGAAGTCGCAGTTTAGGTACAGGCCTCGGAAAAAATAGCGAACACTCATGCCACATTCATCTGTCAACGCCTCCCCCTCCCCCCAATGTTCAAAGTTGGCGGTGGGTCTGATGAGTTGCACTTGGACCGCAGTCTCCCCCGCGCGTGCCAACTTTGAGTTTGGGGGGCAGGGGAGTGTTTACTGATTGTTTCCCTCTACCCTAGGTTTGCCAGCCAGAGGGCACCACTCGCAGGGCACCCAGGGGCGGCAAGCAGAAGTCGCAGTTTAGGTACGCCCGATGCTTTCTGGAAAAGGCCGGAGCCCCCAAGTGCCGGCACTGCTTTGGAGCCCGTGCTTTTTGTCCCGATCGTGTTGGCCCGGGCTTCGGGCGCGAAAGGACGAGGCTGCAACATGTCGGCAGGTGTTGGGAAATGGCGGCGTACGTGGTGTGGCCCGCCGGGGAGGTGCTGGGGACGCATCGACAATGTGTCAACGTTACGCGTAGATTTACTGCATCGTCACGACTCGTATTGCAGATGTTGTCTGGGAGGCTTCCTGCTGCGTCACAGTTTGGCCGTGGGCTCAAAAGCTTTACGCCACATCTGCAGTCCCCACTACTGCAAGGAATGGTCGGTGCTTCTTGGAGCTATACAGTCTGACCGAGGTACAAAGTCGAGGTCGGTTCGGGGAGGGTACCTGCGTGTTCTTCGTGTTTGTTGGATGTTGGTGTGCATCCCAGGGAGGGTACCCTTAGATGTTCTGTTTGTTTTTTTCGCCGACGGAGGGTCTCATGTTCTTGAGGGATGTTCTTCTGGCCTAAGTCCGAATGTGCTGTTTTGGTGTTTGGGAAGACGGGCCCTTTCGGGAACCTTTCGAGCATGCTTGAGAGGGTTCTGAGCACCCTTGCTGGCAAGTTGGGAAAGTAGTGACTCGGCTGCGATTGGCCAATGCAGGCGCTGATGCAGGAACGGGAGAAGGTTGGAAGGTTTGGGCTTGGATGGTCTGGGGTTGGGAAGGTTGGAGCTTGGAAGATTGGAGGGTAAGATGGTCACAGGTTGGAAGATTGGAGGTTCGGGGTTGGAAGATTGGAGTTGAAGGGTTGGAAGTTTGGAGGCAAAGGTTGGAAGGTCGGGTGTTGGAAGGTCGGAGGTTGGTAGATAGGGGGCCGCAGGGTTGGAAGGTTGTCGGCTGGAGCGGGTGGAGAATTCGTGGTTGAACGGTGTGAGTTGGAGGGTTGGGCGTTGGAAGGTCGGAAGTTGTAATGTTGGAGGGAAGATGGTTGAGAGTTGGGAGCGGGGGGAACTGGGGGTTGTTGGGTTCGGGTTGGAAGGTCGAGGGCCGGACCAGCGTTTCTCCCGGCGTCGTATCTCCTGGATGTCTCCTGGGGCTGTGGGCATTTGTCTGGCATCTTGGGCCCTCTTGAGCTGTCTCAGGGCATCTTGCCGCCTTGGGCTCCTCCAGCGGCCATCTTGAGCTGTCTTGTGGGCCTCGTGGGGCTCTCTTGGGGCTCTCTTGGGCCGTTTGGGGATGTCTTCGTTGGGCCCCCTTGGGCATCTTGAGGCTGTGTAGAGCCGAGAAGGCGAGCAAGTCAACCACATCGACACATGTTGAGGGGATCTGTAATCTTGGCTCCTCGGAGCCTCTTTGGAGCGTCTGGGAGCATCTCTGCAAGCCTCCCGCGGGCCTCCTCAGGTCCCTTGGGGCCTCTTGGAGTCGCTTCGAGGCTTCACAGGCCATCGTGGAGCCCTCTGGGAAGCTCTTGGTGTTTTCCTTGGCCGTCGTGGCCGCCTCTTGCGGTCAGCTGGGCCTTCTGGGAGCCCTGGAGGGTACCTGGAGCGCACCACGAACGAGCGTTCCAGACCCCCCAGCCGCTCGAGTCTGAAACTCTGGGTCCGGTCTTCGGGAGGGAGTGCGTCTCGGGCGACGCCAGCTGTCCACTTCACCGATCTTGGTCACGCCCCTCCTGGGCACAGGGTCGGTGTCTGCGCCTTCTGGCTTGGCCCGGGAGGCGTAGCCACCGATCCTGGGTCCAGACTGGGCCTGGCCAGGGCCTGGCCAGGATCGGTGCAGTAGCCAGTTGACGTCCCTCCTCCCCCTCTTCCTCCTCCTCCTCCTCCTCCTCCTCCTCCTCCTCCTCCTCCTCCTCCTCCTCCTCCTCCTCCTCCTCCTCCTCCCCTTCCTTTTCCAACTCCTACTTCTCCTCCCCATTATCCTCCTCCCCTTCCTTTTCCTCCTCCTTCTCCTCCTCCTCCTCCTCCTCCTTCTCCTCCTCCTCCTCCTTCTCCTCCTCCTCGTTCTCCTCCTCCTCCTTCTCCTCCTTCTCCTCCTCCTCCTCCTCCTTCTCCTCCCCGTCTTCCCTGGTGCAACGTGAAAGTAGATCACACGCATGGAGGCCACTCAGGGATCAGCGGATCCATTTGTCCGACTGCGCAATCACCGCAGAAGGTTTCCAGCAGTTGATGTTAGCCCTGGAGGAGTGTGACCTGTACCCGCTGACCAACACTAAGACTGGCAGCGCAGAGGCCCTGTATCTCAGGTTGGAGAACAACTACATAGAGGAAAGCGCCATACAGCAGAAGGTTGTCCTTCTCCTACCTCTTCGTTCCTCGCGCTTCCTCCCTCCTCCTCCTCCTTATCCTCCTTCTCCTCCTCCTCCTCCTCCTCCTCATCCTTCCCTCGGGAAGGTTAACGAGGGCGTGATCGCGCCACTGCAGAAGCAGCGGAACACGCGGATGCCGCCTGCAGAAGGTGGCCAAGATGCCCCTGCTGCACCGCTCAATTCGATCCCACCGCGCCTGCTCCTCCGCCTCTTCCACTTCCCTCCCCCGCTATTGCTGCTGCTCCTTTTCGACCCCCCCCCTCGGTGTACCTGGGTCCCCTTGGTACAGCGACGGGGGGGCGGTCAGTGTCCCATTTTCGGGCTTTTTGGGGGTCTGCCGCGACCCTCTCGTCTGGGGCTCTCCCAGAGCCCTCTTGGGCCGTCCTGGGGGGTCGGCGGAGGCGTTTTGTTCGAACCCCCAGCCCCCTGTGCTTGGTAGTTTCCTGCGGAGCTGGTCGGCGAGTTTTGCTTGGCGGAATTCGTTCTTGTAGGACTTAGAGGATTTAGAGGAGGACAAGGGAAGGAGGAGGAGGAGGAGGAGGAGGAGGAGGAGGAGGAGGAGGAAGACGAGGACGAGGAGGACAAGGAGGAGGAGAGGAGGAGGAAGGAGGAGAGGAGGAGGACGAGGAGGACGAGGAGGAGAAGGAGGAGGAGGAGGAGGATGACGAGGAGGACGAGGAGGAGGAGGAGGAGGAGGACCAGGAGGACGAGGAGGAGGAGGAGGAGGAGGACGAGGAGGAGGAGGAGGAGGAGGCTGTAGATCAGCGCCCGGCAGGACAGGGGCAGGACAGGGGGGGGGGGCGGGAGAGTGGAGGGCTTGCGTTCTCCTCGAGCCGCGGGCCAGCCAGCTTCGGGACGATCGAGCTGGGTGCGCAAAGGCAGGGTACGATGTCCATTAGCAGTTTCTGTTCATTTTGAACAGGACCCGCTGTCTGCGCCAGCCGCGGACGTGGTTCTCTGAAGACACGAAGCCGCCTGCCCAACGGCAGCCGCTGACGGTTTTGGAACACATTCGTTGTTGGGCATTGTGCGGTCCACCCGCACGGTAAGGATGGGCAATTTTCTCAAGGGTACCCTTGCCGCCTTGCCTTCTCGGTCCATCCTTGGCCACCTTCGTTGGCCGAAAGCCTCGAAATGGCCTTCCGAGGACCCTGTATCCTGATCGTGCGTCCTTCTTCTACGCGTTGGCTGTACCCATGCTTTCCGTACCCATTTCGGGCGTCCAAATCTCAGGAGGGGAAAAACACACAGACACCATGATTCTTCGATTCCCCAGAACATATGGGAAAATATGCGAAGAGGGGGGGAAGACAAAAGTCAAGAGCAAATGGGGAAATATAGGGAATCCTGGGATTTCTGTGTGTATATATCAGAGTGAGGGGGTCGAACGGTCATTCATTGTCCCTGGGTGCGTGGCTTAAATGCGGATCCGTGGTGATGATTATGCTTGTTGCTGCTGTTGTTATTGTTGTTGCTGCTGTTGTTGTTATTGTTGTTGCTCCTGTTGCTGTTGCTGTTGCTGTTGTTGCTGTTGCTGTTGCTGTTGCTGTTGCTGTTGTTGTTGCTGTTGCTGTTGTTGTTGCTGTTGCTGTTGCTGTTGCTGTTGCTGTTGCTGTTGCTGTTGCTGTTGTTGTTGCTGTTGAACATTATTTCTTCTTAAGAATAATTATTGTTGGGACCCCTGGTGCGCGACCTCTGCGCCGCGCCTAGGCCGCAGCTACATTTTCATCATTTTTTCGCGAAAGCTTCAGAAAAGTGGATTGTGTCCGGATCCGGTTGTTTTGTTGACGCTCGTTTTCCCTTGCAAAAAACAATAGAAAATGAAAATTCTTGTTCTTACTTGATCAAATTGCAAGAATCCCTTGCAAAAAATAAGGTAAAGTGGACATTCGTGCGCGCAAGACGAAATCCTTCCAAAACCTTAGGTTTCGTAACGATTTTAACATAAAAACATCAAAAACCCAATGGTTTTTTAAGAAAAAATTGTCAAAATGTCCTTCCGCGCGCGCTGTCCGAATCCCACAAAACCAATGGTTTTTCAACATTTATGTTACATGAGCTCGCGCGAGCTACTTTTTCTTGTTCTAACATAATCAAATTTCAATAATCCCTTGCAAAAAATAAGGTAAAGTGGACATTCGCGCGCGCAAGACGAAATCCTTCCAGAACCTTAGGTTTCGTAACGATTTCAACATAAAAACATCAAAAACCCAATGGTTTTTCAAAAAAAAATGTCCAAATTTCATCCCGCGCGCGCTGTCCGACTCCCACAAAACCAATGGTTTTTCAACATTTATGTTACATGAGCTCGCGCGAGCTACTTTTTCTTGTTCTAACATAATCAAATTTCAATACTCCCTTGCAAAAAAAAAGTAAAGTGGACATTCGCGCGCGCAAGACCAACAAAAAACACGACGATCTTAGGAACTTGCCCCAAAAATGTGACCAACTCCGCTCTCTCTGTCTCTCTCTCTGTCTGCTCTCTGTCTCTCTCTCTGTCTGTCTGTGTCATGTATTGTATGTCACAATTGCAGGATGCTGGGCACACGCGCGCCCCGAATAAGTGACCAAGTTCTGTGGGTGTGTACCCCACGCCAGTGTAGTAGCCACGGTCGTCCGCACGCCACGAAGTGAAGTGTCCCAACGTCATAGGGCGGGAAGCTGGGTTTGGGTGGTCGCGAAGAGTCGTTTGGATATTTGGTAGAGCTTGAACTGCCCCCCCACGAAGTGGGGGTATTGTCTCGCGTCGCATGAAAACCCTGGCACTGGTGAGAACACTGAGCGTTCGGGTAAAATGATTGTTGTTGTTGTTGTTGTTGTTGTTGAACATTATTAATTCTAAAGAATAATTATTGTTGGGCCCCTGGTGCACGGCCCCCCCGCCGCGCCTAGGCCGCAGCTACATTTTCATCATTTTTTCGCGAAAGCTTCAGAAAAGTGGATGGGGTCCAGATCCGGTTGTTTTGTTGTAATCCGTTTTCCCTTGCAAAAAACACTATAAAATGACATTTCTTGTTCTAATATAATCAAATTTCAAGAATCCCTTGCAAAAAATAAGGTAAAGTGGACATTCGCGCGCGCAAGACGAAATCCTTCCAAAAGCTTAGTGTTCGGAGCGATTTTAACATAAAAACATCAAAAAACCAATGGTTTTTCAACAAAAAAATGTCAAAATCTCATCCCGCGCGCTCTTGCGGATTCGTAGGAAACCCAACACTTTTTAAACATTTCTGTCAAACGGGCTTTTGCGAGCAACTTTTTCGAACTTCTGCGACAACGGTTGCGCACCTGCCAGGGCCATCATCCCTGTCAAATAATACCATGCGGGACACATTCGTTTTTTCTTCGCGCGCGCACGCCGTCGTCGTCGGCCGCGGGGCCCTGAATAGTAGCCACGGTCGTCCGCATGCCACGAAGTGAAGTGTCCGAACGTCATAGGGCGGGAAGCTGGGTGTGGGTGGTGGCGAAGAGTCGTTTGGAAATTTGGTAGAGCTTGAACCGGCCCCCCCACAAAGTGGGGGTATTGCCCGCCTCCTATGAAAACCCTGGCACTGGTGAGAACGGTGTGTCCCCACGTGCTAGTAATTGTTGTTGTTGTTGTTGTTGTTGTTGTTGTTGTTGTTGTTGTTGTTGTTGTTGTTGAATACCCAATTCTAAATAATAATTATCTGAAGGCTGCCGCCTCTGCCGCCGACCCCAAAGCAGACTCGGAAGGCGATGGTCAGAGCAGATGGCGAGGATGCCTCTTGGGGGGTCTCTTGCCGGGCCTGTTGGACCGCCTGGGAGGCATCTTGGGCGTTTAGGAGTAATCTTTGGACGACTCGTGGCCCTTGAATTATCCATCTTTGGCAATCTTGGAGGCCACCGGGGAGCACTGGAGGCCTTCTTGGGGCCATATGGTGCCCAAAAAGGAGCAGAGCTGGATCTGAACCAGGGTTGGAGCTGAAACTGGGTGTGGCACTGGAGCCGGCCAGGTTTTCGGTTGGAGCTAGAGCCGGGGTATGATTCGGGGTTGGAGCTGGCGCTGGAGCTGGAACGAAGCCGAAGCTGGAACTTGAGCTGCAGCTGGGGCTGGAGCTGGAGCTTAACTGCAGCCGGAGATGGAGCTGGAGCTGAAGTGGAGGTGGCCTGGAGCTTGAGCTGAATCTGGGGTTGGAGCTGGAGCTGGAGCTGGGGCTGCCCAAGCGAATGGTGGCGTGGGCCATTGTGCGGACCAGCGTTTGAGCGGCGTCAGGACTCGCAGAGCACGGCTGCGGGCGCTATTGCTCTCCAGAGCACCCGACAGTTCGAGCGGTTTGTTACCACACCCCAGGGTAGGGGCTGCCGTGTTGATGCAGTATTTCGCCCGACTCATGGCCCGTAGTTGTCACGCCACTTCACTTAGTGTATTCGCTCACTCGGCTTGTCAGTTCCAGTTTGACTACTTTGATGCACTCCACGTTTCATGATTGTTGCTATCCGCCTTTCAGTCATATGGCAGCTGATCTGCGCCCCTGCTGTCGGTGTCCAGAGACATCTTGGAGCAATCTTAGGCCGTCTTGGAGTAACCTTAGGCCGTCTCTGGGCAGCTTGGCCTCGGGAGCGCGAATCGATGGTTTTTGTACGAGGGATCGTGCTCTCTGGGGCGCAGTCTTGGGGGTCTTGTGGGCCGTCTTGGAGCCCTCTTGGGCTGTCATGGAGCTCTCTTGGGAGCCCTCTTAGGCCATCTTGGGGCCGTCTTGGAGCACTTTTAGGCCGTCTCGGGGCACCTTGGCCTCGGGAGCGGGAGTCGATTGTTTTTTACGAGGGATCGTGTTCTCTGGGGCGCAGTCTTGGGGGTCTTGTGGGCCGTTTTGGAGCCCTCTTGGGCTGTCATGGAGCTCACTTGGGAGCCTCTTGGGCCG